AAGACAACAAGTTAGTGGCTTTATGCAAGAGACAAGGGAATCAAACTCACTCTATAAACTGATTCAAAGTTGGGATTTGACTGTGCTTTGTTCACCAAGACCAGAAAAACAGCTGCGAGAGACATTCGCTATTATGCTGTTGAGAAACAATGATAGTGAGTCAGTTCCTGGCACTGCTGTTACATGGTGCGCATCATCAATCTCTTTGCTTACATAACTTTGACACTGGAGCTTAGGTAAGTGTTGGATTCCTGTTTCACCGAGTGCCTTTAACCAAATTTTGTAGGACAATGCGCTTGGCTATAATTCTGCTTTCACAACTTTGCCATTTTATGAAGGGCAGTTTGTGTTTTCTTCAGCCTTTTAAAAAAGAAAAAAATATTCCTAATACCAAAAATAAACATTTCTGGGTAACTTTCACAATATCTCAGGTTAACTGAACAATAATTAATATTGTCAATGTTTAATCGACAATGCTGAAAAACTCTAAAACAGACTGGTGACTTGCCCAGGGGGTGCTCCACTTTTTGCCCTATGATAGCCAAGTTAGCCTCCAGACCTCCCAAGGCAAAAGAATGTAGCCCATTATCAATATATAAATAAAAAAACATATATTAAAAATACATGATATTTTTATGTTTAGAGAAGTAAACAAACAATTTAAAGTTCATTATTCTAATATGTAACATGAGCTGGATTTAAGATTTTGTGGATAATGGTTATTATAATAATGTTCACACAGCTGTCAAACTGCAAAGTCTATAAATAGACAGCTTCTTATATTGCACTGATATTTTCGGATGTTTAATTACATATCAGTTTCATTTACACAGAGAAGCAGGAGTTGTTAAATGACACTGAAATGGTCATCGATATAAAATTAGACTTCACTAATGTGAGGCTAATGTCCAGTGTTATTATCTAAAGTTTGTTAATTCTTTGTTAATTATCTACTTCCACCTGAGCCAGGTACCAGGTAAAGTCACATGACTCCTCACTACTTCCCTGATGTTCGAGGTGTTTTTTGTTTCTGTTGTTTAGGAAGCCAACTTTCTGTTTCTTTTTTAATATTGTGTGTTATGTGATATGTTGACTCCCCAGTGGATTGCACAGCTGTGTAGCTTTGCTGTAAATAGACTCATGTCATGTACAGTAACAGCTATCCAGATTTAAAAAGCTACATTTAAAGAAAGTCCCCCCAAATCCCCCCTCGCAGGCACCCTCTCATATACTCCCCTACACATTACTCAACTCCACTCTACTTGGCACCCACTCCTACTTCTGTGTGAAGTCTGCTTGCTGTATGAAGCCCACAACACACTCAGTGTTTTTTGTATTGGAAAAGGACATTTCATTTCAGCTGAGCAGTGCAGCCCAGTAAGTAAAGGTTACATAAAAAGCCAGACAAGTGGCCCCGTGTTCTTAAACAGGCAGGATGGTGGAGCACAGAACGACCAAACTCATTTCTGTTTTTTCTTGTTACTAAGCACTAGAAAAAAAACAGGAGAATGGGCGGTAAAGGAGATAAATGAATACATACTAACAGTTCAGCTTCTTGAGTCCATAGAGGCCAGGACTGCAGAGCCTTCATTCCACCACGCTCGGCCCTCACTCAAACTTAGGAGTTGAGCCAAGTCCAAGAACTGGTACTTTGTCTACATATGTCATCTCAGTAAAACCTTTTTTTTTTTAAATATACATTTTTCTAGAGATGGATGTTGCATTTTTTCCACACCTCTCTGCTGCAACATGAGTCACTTAAAATTGAATCTATGGGACAATCCAGAACAGTGGATGTGCTAGAACAACGGCAAACCCGGACATCGGTTCCATCCTGACTCAAAGAGCTGGACCAGGGATCGTCAAAATGGTCTGAGCTGTAGGTTCAGTTAAATATCATTCTGTGTTTTCTACATGTATCAACAGAAGGGCACCAGTTGCAAGTGGAATAATTAACAAATCATGGAGGACGCCAATAAGGCCCATTTCCTGAACTCACTGGGAAAGTGTTTACTGAAGCTGAGGGTCAATTTCTTACATCTATAGCATGAGAAGTTCTATTTATAGCCACAGTTTAGCTTTACTTTTTGGAATCTCTCCATCTTTATGTCTTCTACATAAAGTCAGAAGACATAATGATGTGACTTTATTCTTGTAGCCGACTGCTGAATCCTCTTCAATCAGTCCTTTCGCTCACTGATACAGCATCAAAGTAACACAAAACTTTTAATGGCCTCCTGGGAAAACAACTATAACACACTGAGGGGGAAGACAGACAACATTTTTTTAATTTAACATGGT